CTCTCGGACCGGTACCGGACACAAGTCGACTCTCGGACCGGTACCGGTACCAGAAGGCAGAAAGAAACTGCAGCTTGAAATGAATCACAGTAAAAAACAACAGCAGTAAAAAATAAATTCACTTTGAATCTGGGTCCAGATCCGGACCGGGGTCCATCATTATGGCACTCCTACATTAGAGTCCAACAGAACCATGCAGGTTCTGAATCAACAGCCTCTGCTCCTCTCAGAGCTCATAATCCTCCTTCCAACAGACGGCAGGCCTTCCCCCGGAACCGGCGCCGGCCCGTGGGCCCGTTGCATAACCGTCTATCCCATCATCCAGCGGAAGAACGAGGCCAATCGAAGGCAGCGGGCCGGGCCGACACGCAAGCGGTCCGCTGGGCTGGTCAGCTGTTATGTCACAGCTCAAGCTGGAGATTAGAGTTAGCAGAACCGACGGTGAGAGGAACACGGGGCTCGGTTCGGGTCCGTGGAGAATTCAGGTTCAAACAAACACACGGGTTCGGGTCAGCGAGCATCCACTCAGGCCCGTTTGATGTGCTGCAAGAAGCTTCCGCTCCAAAAAGCAAACTGAGACAATTAAAACGTTACAGGGACACGAACGCCACTGAAGGAGGAGGAAACGAGCGCGCAGCGGCAGGAAGTGACACTTTTTATTGTTCAGCAAAACGTTTCAGCTCCAGTCTAAACACGCACGGACTGGTTTCTGATCGGAACCGGACCTTTGTTAGCTCGACAGCTGAACCGAAACTCAAAAACACTTTTTCTTTTTCTCCAGAAATGCACCGTAGTGAAGAGGTGATGAAAATTCTTACTTTTCTACCAGTTCATGAATGCAACACGGCTACGTTTTTACAGAGTTCCCTTTTTGTAATTTTCAGCAAGACGTCAAAAATAAAATCAGAAACTCAGTTTTTCTGTTTTAAAACTGGAAAAAAGTCCAGTTTTCTTTAATCGGAGTTATAATTTACAAAACGTTTGACAAATGCAAGACTTAAAATAAATCGTTATCGAGCAGCAATTTGATGTTATCTGCCTTTATATATAGTTGTAATAAAACAAAGTTATTTACCATGACAACCCACATTTATTTTATTCTTTGCTGTTTTTAATATTTATTTTATCCTCAATGAAAACGTTTTATTAGCAGTCAAATGTTCAACTCCGACAAAATACACTTTTAATCGTATTTGTTCAGGAGAAAGCGACCGCACGTGAAATCAGCAGGTCTAGAACCAAGAAAACTGCAACCAGTGCAAGGACCAGTGCATCAACCAGTGCAAGGACCAGTGCATCAACCAGTGCAAGGACCAGTGCAAGGACCAGTGCAAGGACCAGTGCA